TAAGAAAAGGCACAAATAGTCAATTGGAAGTTGTTGCAGCCTTGCAGGAACCAATCACATCTGGATACTTTAGAAATAGAATCAGGAACGCGGGATAAAGACCCTGTAACTAACCTGTACAAGGAAGGAAAAATTTAAAAAAAAAAAAAAAAAAGCTTCCGTCAATGTATATAATACATACAAGTACGTACCCCTACCGTGACATTCAGCATAAAAGCTTGATTAATTACTAATTGACTTGCAATATTGTAACATGCCACAGGTTGAAAACAAATATGTCACACATTAGTTCTATTATTAAAGTTAAGATTTAAACATCTTCCTGACCATATAATAGTGGATATATATATATATATATTTTTTTTTTTTTGATAACAAGTGGATATATATTTTTATATTGGGCGTTCGGTGATCGTCCATGGAAAGAAAAGGGGTTACTAGAGAGAGAGAGAAAGAGGTTTAGGATTTTGGTTGGGTGTTGGAGATAAGTTGATAAAATTTATATGAAAAAGTCATTGACACAGTGTGGTTGGCTTTTCAAAATGATATGGGATTGATGAGGACATTTTATTTATTAGACAAGGACATTTGGATTTGTTAAATTATAACAATACCTTATTAATGGCCACATAGGACAAATGACCCGCAAAGGATTCCAAACTACAGGGATCGACATGGCCCGGGGGGTGTGCCATTTGACTTTATTTAAAAATGAAACCATAGTTTCATTTTGACTTTTTGAAAATGAAACTTTATTAATTGGTTGCCATTTGTGTTCAGGTTAAAGCCGAGGGTGACTGGACACATGCGAGAGTTTAAAATGGTTTACGAGGACACGCTTGTTAGACGAAATTTTTTTTTATTCAGTAATCTCAATTTTTAAAAATATGATTTTTACATTCAGTTTACGATAATATCTTAAAATTAAAAATTTAAAAAAATTCAATTTCTCGAGTATCTCCAAAAATTCTGCATACCAAACGGGTCCTAAGAATAAGAACCAATGTCAACCTTTATCTTGAAATTGAAGGAATGAATCATCTTCATTAAAGTTAGGTTTTATTAATCTCATGTTAAAGAAGATAAGTTATCTCATGTAATAGAAATAAATTTATGAACTCTATCACATAAAAAAAAGATAGCACAATTATCGAAGATGTGTAAAAATAAAAACTTATCTCATATAACATTAGAATAGTTTTTCCCTTAAAGTTATTAATCACAATCCAAGATTTCTCTATTTATATAGATGATAAACACCAGCTACCGGCTATCGAAGAGAAAGAGAAAGAATCTAGAAGCTAACTGCTCTCAAAATAAACTAACAAAATAGCACTATTTTAGCATTTTAGAACAAAATAATTTTCTAGTTAAAGTTGATTGGATAAGTTTTTGCAAATTAATCCAGTCAAATACGTCACTGGTACTGACAGGACTAGCATGGTCAATGATACTGATGGGAGGGACTAGTCGGACTCATGCCAATCCTGTTAACGTAAAATTTCGGAAGCCCGTAACTTTTGATTCAGGTATTCAAATTAGATGATTTTTTTTATTTCACGTAACTTTTCGAGATCTACGCAATGACACATATTTAACATATTTTATCTCCCACAAACATAGTTCAAATTTGTAACAATGGTACCACAATCACAAGAGCATTTAAATCCAGAAGATGTTACGTGCGGTAGCTCATGGTGTTGGTTCGGAAATAACTCAGGATCTTATGGATGTAAATAATCTTGTAACTGTGGAACTATTGTTGTAAATTCAAACTATGTTTGTGAGAGATAAAATATGTCAAATGAGGTGTCATTGCGTAGATCTTGAAAAGTTACGTGAAATAAAAAAAATCATCTAATTTGAATACTCAAGTCAAAAGTTATGGCCTGGAACGGCCTACGTAGCACTGACATGGCATGAGTCCCATCAGTATCATTGACGAGACTAGTCTGGTCAGTACCAGTGATGTTTTTGACTGCACTAGTTTGAAAAAATTTATCCAATCAACTTTAACTGGATAATTCTTTTGCCCAAAAGTCTTAAAATGATGCTTTTCCCAACTAAGAAACTCGAAACCTAACCAATTGAATCAGGTATGCCATCTGTAATGATTTGTTACACGTGCTTTAATATCAGGGATGCAGAATTGCACTTGTTGACTTAGGCTGGTGTCTTTTGTGTTTTGAGCTAGACTTGAGTTTGGGCTTGAGCCCATTAAGTTTTGATCCGGTAAGACTTTATTCATAGCATGTTTCCCAAGAAAAAAAGAACCAATGTTTACCGTAAAAAAAAAAATGAATAAGAACCAGTAGTAGTGTCATGAACTTCCTCTACTTTAGTGGGATGAGTCATGAGTGAAGTCATTGAAATAGATATATATATTTATGGGAAAAGTGTCTATACATTTAAATTACACAACTTACATCCTTTCACTCTCACAAAGAGGTGGGACCCACAACTTTATTTTTTTTGTCAACTCTCTCTCCTCCTTTATCTATCTCTTTCTCTCTCTTAAAATGACACAACTTTACATCCTTCAAAATTATACACACTTTTCCCTATATTTATAGCCGTAAACGAGTCTACAGTTTCTCTTTTTTAAGGTTTCCTTGTTTTTTTTGTTTTCAATGCAAAAATATGCTTACGTTGGAAACCCCATCACCTCATTATTTGGAGGTACATCTCATGCTAAAATTTTATATGATGTGGTCATATGAAATTTTTGTTTCTTTATTATTTACTTTGTCTGATTACATGGATAAATCTTTTGACATTTTTGGTATTCGAGCAATTGAAGAAAGGGAGACTTACATTCAAAGGACTTTCGTGAGAGTTGTAATTCCAAGGGAATCGATTCAAAATGAATTACCAACATTAACAAAGAAATTTAATTTAGACCAAAAGTTAAAATTAAACATGGGAAAAACAATGGTCATGTTACATGAAAGTTATTTTTCCTCTTGCTCTCAGATCATTTTCCGTGCAATACTTTTTTTTCTCTCTCTAATATTTGACGGACCCACCAAATCATGTCTCTGCAATATGATATATCTATTTTCCTGTTGCAAGACATTTATAAAATCCATGAAACAAGGGAAAAGCAAGGGTCATGTTCCAGGAAAGTTATTTTTCCTCCTACTCTCATATCATTTTTTGTGCAATGTTTTTTTTTTAATATTTGGTGGGCCGCACCAAAGCATGTCTATGCAACATGATATATTGATTTTCGACATTTATAAAGCCCATTAAACAAGGGAAAAACAAGGGTAATGTTACAGGAAAGTTATTTTTCCTCTTGCTCTCATATCAGTTTTCGTGCAATGTTTTTTTCTTTTTCTCTCTCTAATATTTGGCTGGGCCCACCAAAGCATGTCTCTGCAGCATAATATATTGATTTTCTAGTTGCAAGACATTTATAAAACCTATTAAAGAAGGGAAAAGCAAGGGTCATGTTACGGAAAAATTATTTTTCCTCATCTCTCAAATCGTTTTCTGTGCAATGCTTTTTTCTCTAATATTTGGCAGGCCACACCAAAGCATGTCTCTGGAACATGATATATCGATTTCCCCATTGTAGGACATTTATAAAACCCATTAAACAATTAGTGAAAAAACACAATAATGAAGGAGAGAAAGTTATGTACAAACTAACCGGCAAAGGAGAGAGACAGTGAAATTCAAAGATTACCTTAGCAGCTGAATGACCTAATTTGTTTTTTTTTTCTATTTTTTTTGAAATGGATCATGTGAAAAAAAAAATGATATGGTCATATGAGAAGGTTACAACCATACAAAGGTGAATCAATAGTTATGATTTTGTAATTACCTATTTAAATATTTTTCTCTCTTCCTTTATTACCATTGATCTATCTTTGTATAATTATGATTCCCCACATGACCATGTCATGTTTTTTTTAACATGAGAGAATCCAAATCCATTATTTTTTACTTTTATAGTGCGCTTGCGCTGGGATCTGTGACAACCGGTTTCAACCAATAATAATTTATCACGTGGCCATTGTACACATGTGGTAAGTGGATACATATAACACAAGACGGTTCACCGTCATCAAAAGTGAGTGTATATTATGCTTGATAGGATTCCATATATTTCAAAATATTTTAAATATTAATTTGGGGGATTAATATTTCTCACGTTGTAAGAGATAATTTTATCTCCTACGTATATATAAAAGTATGTGGAGCTCGCGTGAGATCATATAAAAAGAAAATAAAGAAAAAGGGAAAATATTTTCTCTTTTAAAGGAGAACATTTTTCTCCTATCAGTGATTCATAGTATAAGTGGAGTCTACAAAATAGTGGAGAAAAAAAAAATTCAAGGTGAGACCCATTTATGCTATGAGTTACTAGTAGGAGAAATTTTTCTCTTTTAAAAGGAGAAAATATTTTCCCTTTCTTAAACCCATTTAATTTAATGCATTTTAAAAGGGAATAAAAAAAACCTGATTGATATTTAAAAAAACATTTATTACAAAATATAAAAAAATATAATGAGAGAATAATAATGTACTCTACGTGGAGGATTCCCGTTATTATTGGCAGATGTTCGGATATGAATTTTTTTTAATAAAGTGACTTATTTATATTCAATTTTTAAATTGATCGTAATTATATTAATGGGTTAAAAAAAGTTGAATTTCTTTTGCTAAAATACGAAATTAAAAATTATCTTGGAGTGTTGTGGACATTAAGTGGGTAAACGTAAACTTCTTCTAACAAAGCCTTTTTCATATTTATGATCAGAGATCAAATTTCTGTCAGCATGTTTAAAGAACCCAGCTATCTACCAACAGTACTGGACTTTGTTGGTTATAGCCCCTTTTTTATATTAATATTGAGAATTCATGTCTTTTAACTTAATGTGGAAAATATATCTTTGAAATTTATGGAAAATTGTTTTAATTTAATTTTAAAATTTGTATTGCTGAATATTAGAAATGTTCAATACCAAAACAAGAATATTAAAATTGTTGATGCAACTTTAAGACAGTCATAAAGTCGTAGAACAATCAAACAAGGTAAAATATTTTTGGTAAAAGAAAAGGTAATTTTTTTTTTAATACAAACCCTGACAACACTAAATTATTGTGAAATAAGGAGCCATTTACTCCTTGCCCATCATGATTTCTAATTTCCAACCTTGTAAGTGCAAAGGTTTCCAAACCCCATGAACCCCTTCTTTTCAATCCTCTGAATCAGGTTTGATATGCCTACTCCACCTGTAGTTTAAAAAAATAAATACAAACAGAAAAAAGTTGAGCCATCGTAATAAATTATTGAAAATGTCAAAGAATTTAAAAAAAATAAAATGAACTTGTCTTTATAGAATAGTTAGGAGGACATCTGTTATTAATTTAATTTAAAATGTATCATATATTAAAATACTGAAATTAAAAAAAAAAAAACCTTTACTTATTTGAAAACTCACTTCAAATAATTTATTCAGTCAAAGCATATATATATAAAGGGAGAAGTTATATTTATAAACTTTTTTGTTTACAAACTCTTACAAACTACACTATCTTCTCTCGAGAGAATACTAATCACACTATCTTCTCCCGAGAGAACATAGTGCAATTTGCATAAATTTGTAAAAATTTTTGTAAAATAATACTTTCCCATATATAAAACCAAGGAAGTTCCAAGAACCCTTGCTTTTTATAAAAGTACTAATATCCTTAAACTAATAGTAAATAATATTTGTTCATATTTTTAACTTATATATTTGAAATATAAATACATTATTTTTTTAGTACTTATATTTAAATAAAGAGTTTAACGTATTTCTATCATATGAGATAAAATTATCTTGTAAATCCAATTTGAGATTTAAGAAAAAAAATACATGATATATTTTTAAAAAATTATGTTGCAAAGAAAAGCAAAATTCATAATCTCCATAAAAGAGTCACTTGCCTAGTGATATTCCACTCACAAAAACCGTGAGGGCTAGGATGAATATGATCAGAGATGCTCTCCCCAGAATGGCAATAAGCTTTCTAACCAAATGCTGCCCAACAAGCGCAGCAACAGTAGCTACAGCTGCGAAGTAAAGAGCTGCAAGATAGTCAAAAGTGAAACATTAAAAAGGGGCTATTTTACCATATGAGGCGTTATGATATGTATTTTACATGTTCTAATGTTATTTTTTTAGTGGAGGCATTTTGTTCCGCAATTTGGCTCCCACAAAACTGTTAAAAATATAATAGTAATTCCGCATGATCAATCCGCGAAACTAAACATCCTTCACCCGAAAATAACTTTGGGAGTGTACCAAATGGACAAAAACATCATTCAAACACATGCTGAATGGTCAAACAACTCATTCAAAAGTCCATTATAGGAAGTTATTTCTTCATTTTAGTGTGACAACCTCCTCCTCTTTCTTTATCAATAACCAATTAGCTAGTAACCATTGTCTAACTATATATGTGCTCCTTAAATCCATTCATCCATATACTTACCATAAGGAATAGGAAAACGTTTCAGGAGGTAATATTCCACAACTGCCATAGATGCAGAAAATGCCATTGCAAAAGTGGATGTAGCACTTGACACCTTTGTGGAAAATTCCCCCAATATGAGTTGAGTTCCAAGGGACCAACATAAAAATCTCAATTAGGCAATCCTCAAATCTTCAGACTTTTATGGAAAAGTGAATCATGAAAGGTACCTGAGGAGGAATTCCTAGTCCAAGAAAAAGGGGACCCAAGATGAATCCTCCACCAAGACCAAGCAAGCCACCAATGATGCCAGCAACTAGGCCGCAGGAGCAGTACAGAATTAACTGCTCCACTCGCCATTGTGTTTGTTGTTCTCCCTTGGATGTTATGACTCTCTTCCCTTTGTATAGAAGCACAGCCTCATATGAACTCATTCCTACAGTGATAGGGACCTGAATGACAAGCAAAAAATGATATATATTGATATTGATGGTTCAATGGTTCTAAAACCATATTTAAAGTTAAGACCAAAATAAAACTTTTGGGTCATCAACACTTAACCATGAGGCCATATTATTGGCTTGGTTAAGTTGGAGAGAACAAAATATAAGATGAAAATTTTGGTTTCCAGCAATTGAATTCTCGTATTGTAGTTTATACCTGCAGTAGATTCAAAGTCCAATATACCACTGAGCAAGTTGTTGTGTAATTCTGTTTCAAAACAAAGGCACATATCATCCTCATTCTATGTTCACTAATGAAAAACTCAAATTGAGAGTTGAATAGTTCATCTAGATACTAACTTTTCCTATCTCTAATGCAAGTATCATGATCCAGACAGACAAAAGAAGTCCAAGTTCCTTCCAATAAATATTCTCAAAAACAGAAACCTGCATGGCAATTTAGATTTCATTAAAAAAAAAAGAAAAAAAAAAGAAACAGAAGTTGAACATGAAAGCACAACTGTCTGTATTTTCTACCACTTTCTTCCTTGATTGATTAGTATTGGTATGACTGTCATTGACCGGATCTGCTGTTTGAAGATCATGAGCGACATCTTCAGTCCTTCCAATATCTGATTACATTGAAAATTAGCATGACATGTCTGGTAACCACTATCTCTATCAACTAGTAACTAACAGAACAGATACAGAATGCTAGAACAGAAATAATATCAGACCACTTACCATTTAACTGTGAATTCTCCCTAGCTTCCTGGAATTATAACAGGAATGCATTAAACCAAAGCATCAAAAAGCAAAACTAAAAAGAAACATTAAGGATGAGCCATGTTTAAGCAACCTTCTTTTTAAGGGTTTCTTTTTTCCATGTATCAACACCCTTAAGGAAAGCGTTAATTGAAATGCCTGTTTCACATCAAGACTCAATTAGGCAAAGGGAAAAAATAAAGAAAATACTCAAATTTAAGCATTTCTTACCAATGAAAAATACTATTAACAAAGTTGTCAGCATCCAATCAGGAAAAATAACATTGAAAGCAACTCCAATACTGATCCCAAGCATCAACATTGGTTGGAAAAGAAGTGCTAGGTCATAGTCAATCACAGGCAAGTCAAGGGTTGGGTGTCTTTGCTTCAAATTGTAGAAAACAGTTGCTCCTGCTCCACCAGTAATCATGCCTTAACCAAACAAACAGAAACATACAAATTTCATCCATATAAGATGTCAAAGAATATAGTGAAAACTAAATTAAAAATTTGAAGCAAATAAGATGACTATTATCACTGGTTATTGGTTATAAAGGGGATTTTTTTTTCCTTTTTGGTTATTTTAATGCAAAAGCATTATTACGTAATGCAAAATATATTAATTAAATATTTTTTTATTTAACACTGTTTAAAATAATAACAATTTTGAAGTATTATACAAATCATGATGAATATAGTCAATTTGAAGCGTGACCTAAATTCAACCTGAAAATACATTTTATTTTATTTTTAACCCAAACCCAATCTAATTATCTTCAAATTGGGACAGATCTTGAACACACTTGAAGGCAGAGTCGAGTGAGAGAGTTTCGCCAAGATTTTCAATGGGTCTTTTCCTACTCTCTCTCATCTTTTATTGTCAAGGTCTTAAATTCTTCTGTCAAGGAACTAATTGGTAAGTAGAAGTTAAGGATAATCTATTCTCTTAACACTTCATTGTGCGCGCGTAAGTACGAAACAAATTTCAAACATCTTTACTTTTGAAAAATAATAATAATGTTATCAAAAAAAAATAAAAATAATAATAATAATAAATCTAGAACAACTTTTTTTTTTAAACAAAAGGTTTAAGCCACAAAATAAATAAAGAACACAAAAAGAAACTTAACTATTTCAACTCAAAGCATGAGTTCTTCCAACAACTAAGTAATTGGATGTCAGGAGGAGGTTTTTTGCCAAACAAGATTGTCTATTTATTTTTAATGTAGAAACTCAAGGATAATACTTTATTTCTATTTATTTTTTTTGTTTTTTTGAGACATTCCAATCAGTTCATCGCTTTGTGACTAGTCTGATTCGAGACTGGTACCGGAATTAAGGCTTTAAACTTCTCCCAAACAAACTAATCTCAAATCCATTTATACATATACAAGACATTAGAACTTGGTTTGAATAAAAAATATTTGTGAATCCAAATTTGAGTTCCTCAGTTGCTCATTGCCCTTATTTACTCGAATAAGTAAGACTAGTTAATCGAATAAGTCATTTACTCGAGTAACTGGCCCAATTACTCCAGTAAATATCGGTTAATATGGTCAAACAAGAGCATATTGATGTGTAGTTTTGATAAAATGTTAAAATTAGAGTTTATTGTTTCTTATATTATACTAGGAGATAAATTTATTTTCTGCACACACACAAAAATATGTGGGCCTATACATTTTTTTTCTCTTCTTCTTATATGGGCCCACATAGACCCCCACACACTTTAATGTTGTGTAAAAGATAAATTTATCTCCTACATAAGAAACACTAAACTTTTAAAATTAATATATAATTTAAAAGGAAGGTAAAGTGGTAAAAAAAATTTAAATACAAGGGCACAATGGTCAATTAGCCTGCTAAAACTGTTTTACTTTTTAGGTAGTTGTTGTCGTAATCAAAATTCTTAATAATGTGTATAAATCCATCCTTATGTATCAAATTAGACTGTATTTTCTTAAGAGGGGTCTAATTTCTTAGTTTATTATTTCTTTAATACATGTCATTTTTAATTTATTTTTTTATAATTTGAAATTTAAATTCTTTTGAATTAATTATGCACTTTTAAACTTTTATAATTTTCAATTGCACTTAAATTAACCAAATCTCTTTTATAATATTATGATTTCTTTTTTATAATTTACATAATTAAATATTTATAGAATACATAAGATACTTACTAGTATAATTAGATGATAATGGGTGTGCATGGCAACCTTTTAAGAATCAATTATTTTTTTTAATTTTTGTTTCTGGAAACAAAAATGGATAGAAACAGTGTTTGACAAAATCGATTTATTATTTTGATTCCAAGAATGAACCAGTTCAATTTCTATGCTGGGGTACAGAAAAAATAATAATAAAATTTCTGCATTTTTATTCCCAGGCACAAAATGAGAATCACTTTTTTTTATATAACCTGGAGGGTATTCCCATTCAACCTCCTCCGGTCACCTTATCTTCGGAGTACGGCCCGAAGGCTACCCCTTATTGGAACAGCGGGTGCATTGAGCTTAGTTACTGGAGGAAGGATGAAACTAATCCTTCCTTCGAGGAGAGAGGCACATCCTATGGCCCCCAAAGATTTTCTAAGAATTTGCTTGAGACAAGGTTTGAACCCGTGACCCAAGCAAATCCTTGGAAGCTCATTTCCAACTGAGCTATCCTTAGGGGTTAAAAACACTTGTTTCTCTCCATCACTACTATTATCACCACCACCACCACCATCATCCCGACATGACCATCGTCATCGCTGTCGTCATACCACCACCGTCGTCGTCATCACTACCACCACCACCACGATGTCACTGCCACCATCACCACCACTACCATCACCACCGCTACCATCAGTACCACCATGCCGCCGCCACCACCACCACCACCGCCACTACCCTCACCGCCACCACCACCACCACCACGATGCCACCGCTACCATCACTACCATCACTATCACCACCAACATCACTACCACTACCACTACCGTCACCAAACATCACTACCATTGTCACCATCATCGCCACCACCACCACTACCATCACCACCACCACTACAATCACCACGCCACTGCCACCACCGCTACCATTACCATGCCACCGCCACCTCCATCGTCATCACTACCATCGCCGCCACCACCATTTGTTGTGTTATCAAATGCAATTCTCATTCTCAGAATATAAATAGACATGTTATCAAACAATTTTTTTTTCTCAAAAACTATTCTAATGCACAAAAATAGAAAATAATTGTTTCTTTTCAGAAACAGTGTCAGGGAACAGAATGGTTGTCATGCACACCCTATGTTCCTTTACACTGTTTCTGAAAAGAAATAATTATTTTCTATTTCTGTGCCTTGAAACAGTTTCTGAGAAAAAATGTGTTTGATAACATGTTCTATTTTTATTTCGAGAATGAGAATTGCGCTTGATAACATAACAATAATATAATAAAAAATCCTTCCTATTTAACTTAAATTTTTTTCGAATCATCACTTTCCTTTTCATATGGTGTGGTGGCGATGGTGATGGTAGTGGTGGTGGTGGTAGTGGTGGCTGCGGCGGTGGTGGTGGTTACGGCAGTAGCTGTGGCGGTGGTGGTTGTGGTTGGTGACAGTGGTGGCAATGGTGGTGGTGACAATGATGGTGGTGGCGGTGGGGTGGAGGTGGCGGTGGCGGTGGCATCGTGGTGGTGATGGGGGTAACGATGATGGTGGCGGTGATCGTGTCGGAATGATGGTTGTGGTGGTGATGATGGTAGTGGTGGAGAGTGATTTTGAGAGACAAATGTTTTTCATTTTGTGCCCGAGAACAAAAATAAGCAGAAATTTTTTGATTTTTTTTCTATTTTCCAGCACAAAAATTGAACTGATTCATTCTCAAGAATAAAAAATAAATCAATTTTATTAAACACTATTTTTATCCATTTCTATTCTCAGAAATAAAAATTGAAAAAAATAATTCTAGGAAGACTGTGATGCATGCCCAATGTAAAAAAAACATTACTGTGTATCATAATAAATCCGTAAAGGTGAGGCTGAGGCTATTAGCACTCTAATTATATGCCTATTAACACTACTTATTTTTTGCTTTTTATGTTTTTCAAATTTACCCTTATTTAAAACTTTAAAAAGTTAAATTTTGCATTAACTATTTTATTATTTATTCTTACTCCTAATATAATTTTTTTCTTATGGCCCTTCATTTATCACATACCTCCTTGTTACCAAAATCGTGCATTGATCTCAATTCTCACCGAATGACTCTTTACTTCACCCTTATCTTTTTTTTCTTTTTTTTATATAGGTGAGAATTAAATACATAATCTAATACAAATCACCTAAATCCCACACTACCTAGACCAATCCCAATGGCTTTACTATGTTGAGATATATAGTCCCACATTGATTGGATGAGCAACTAATATGGCCTTTAGAAGGCCTTGGGCACTCCCACCCCTTGAGCTAGCTTTTGAAGTGGTGTATCCCAAGGTTCTTTACATGGTATCAGAGCCTCACCGTCCCCCGCTTTAAAAAGTGGAATTAAAAAAAAAGAAAAAGCACAAAAAGATAAACCAAAAATAGGCATGTGCAATTTTTACCCTTCTAGTCTAAAGGGCTCTTGCGTGAGAAAGCGTGTTGAGATATATAGTCCAACATTGCTTAGATGAGCAACTAATATGACCTTTATAAAGCCTTGGACACTCCTACCCCTTGAGCTAACTTTTGGGGTGGTGACTTGAAGGTTCTAAGATACTCCACCCTTCTCTATTTTCGCCTTTCTCACATTCAATCTTATTTGATTTTCATTTCATCTCCTTTTCCCTCCATTGTTGGTCCTTAACTATTTCTATCACCTTTTTCACTTCCTCCCCATAACAATGCCTTAATTAGAAATGCACCTGTAGTAGAATGATAGAATCTCTAAACGGATCCCATTTGTGCACCAACAAAACCCCATTTATTGTCTTCTCTCTTTAAATCCTTCTGGCAACCATACTCTACGCATTCGTAGAGTGTGCGATAAAAGAAGGGTTCGAAGAAGATAGTTATGTTAGGCGTGAAAATAAATAATAAAAAAGTATTTTTTTTTAAAAAAGTTTTAAATAAGGATAATTTCGGCAAGTGTCATGAAATTAAATATATATATATATATATATATATATATATATATATATATATATAAATAAGAGTTTTATCTATTGCTTATTGCTTACATAAGTAATTAAATAGTGGGTTCTAACTCTCATTACCTACCCAAAAAAAAAGTAATTAAATAGTAGACCTAAGACGCACGTAGGAAAGAAAACATTTGTATTTTATTACCTTGTGGAAAACGTATATTTAGTGCCCGTTTGCATGGGCTTTTATTCCTAAAAAAATTGCTTCTTTTAAAATAAAAATTCTTTTGAGAATTTTTAGATGTCTGGATAACAACTTTTTAAAAAAGCAAAATTTAAAATAAAAGTTAAAATGCTGCTTTTTTTTATAGCCAGTAGTTGGTTGCTTTTGAAAAAAAGCAGAAATTAAAAGATAATATATTTTTTTTGAAAAAAAGATAATATAAATTTTTAAAATACAATTTTAATCTTATCCTATCATACCTATTTTATCTCTCCTTATCCTAGGATCCTGCTAATTTATCTCTCCTTTATTGTAATTTTATATATAAAAAGTGTTTTTTTTTTTAATTTTTAACATGCAAACAATTTTTTTTATGTAAAAGTGATTTTCAGATCATACATCCAAATGTAAAATAACTTTACCTTTTAAAAAAAGTTATTTTTAAAAAAGCAATGCATAAAGAATCATTTTTTAAAAAGCTCATCCAAACGGACCCTTAATGTTCTTCTCGTCAAAAGACTTGAGACGAAATCAACTGAATGACAAGTTTGTCGATATATCATTAATTTCACATATTTTCAAACCAAAATCCTGATATAAGAATTTTGTTATTATATTTGATAGATATGTAAGTTTATATATCTTTTACTTATAATTAACTAGTCATATTTAGGGGGGAAAACAATAAAAAATGAAAACTAACCAAATGAAGGATGTTACTTAAGAATGTTGCATAATTTGTATTCCTTAATACTTAAGGAGATAGTCCTAAGGTCTAAGCCAAAACAAAAAATTTAATTCCAAACATTAATCTCATTAAGGAAATTGAGAATAAGAAAGTAAGGAAGCAACTTAATACCAACCCCATATGTTTGGTGTCAATATCGCACACACATCCGTGCACTGAATTATTGAAAATCTCATAACTTGACCCAAATGTTATTTTTAAGAGAGAAGTTAATAAGGGGAGGAATTGGAGAAAAATATGAGTTCTTACATTTTGATATTGCTGTTGCTGATCTTGCATCGAATCCAATGATTAGGGTAAGCATGGGCACAAATATGCCACCTCCACCAACACCTCCCACAGTCCCAAATGCTGATCCTAAGAATCCAATTATGGTGCCCACCACTATTCTCCATCCAAATTTCAGCCCCTGCAGAAGCAGAATAAAGTTAATCCCAAATCTACGTCCTTAAACTTATATATACAAACACCAATATAACCACATGCATGGCCCTGAAAAATACTTTTACTATTTTGGTTACTTGAAATTGACTCAAATTAAGGTATATAAAAACATAAATTTCGATGAAAACTGTGATCACGGTTATATATTATGAAGCGAACACTCTTACCGGCCAAGTGTGTTTGTAAAATACTTTAGCATGATGATTTGCATCAACCCCTTTTGTCTCACTGGATGCCGAGGTTGTTTTCTGGTCTGTGTTTTGATGAGAAGAAGTAATAGCGGCTGAAACAAGGAGAAGAAAAACAACCAAAACCCTTTCAGCAACCCACCATTTTGATCCACGCACAGCCATCAAGTACAGCTCTTTCAAAATCCAAATCCAAGTCCTTTTAGTACTATGATGTTCCTATATATTTTGCTTCAAGATGAGATCATGATGACAACCATGCATAGAATTTTTTAAATCTTCACTTCAAATAGGAACGTGGAGCCTCTCGGTAATTGTTAATGATGCTATTTGTATTCAAGAGAAATTTATGGATAAGAAAAAAAAAAATCTTGGGTCTGAGTAGAATGGATGTTAACAAAGCCCTAGTCTCTCTCATTTCTTATCTCTTATACAATTATACAAATGCTTTCTTTGCTATTTCATTGTGTGATACACGAGATTGGATTTTCTTATATTAAAAATTCACTTGGTGTAATTATTTGAAATTTTTATATTTATTTCTCACTCCACATGTATTAAATAAATAAAATTTAATTATTATTAATAAAGAAAGAGATAGACACAAACACTTTACTTTGTCGTATATATATGTTAATTATTTCTTCTAGTAATTAGTAATCCCAAGCACTCTGGTTTGTGGAGGATCCCAAAGCTTTGTTGCTAAATATATGTCGAATTAATTCATGTAAATGTTTATATATACAGAGTTATTAACAATTTATACTTACACAAATACTTATCTTTGTAAATTAGGTGGACATGTCTCACAACATGCTTGTATTTTATTCTTTTGAGAGATATAATAAAAAATTTAGAAACTCTTTCAAAAGAAACATTTTTATGATATAACTTTTTTTGAAGATTTTTTTATAAACTACTATTTTTAAATTAAAAAATTGTTTTTGTTTGGTTTTCTTTTTCCTTTTGAAAAACTTATCTAATTATTATAAAAAAAGTAACATGCTTTTTTAATTAAAAGATTTTTCCTTTTTATAAAAAACAAATAATGAGTCCAAATAATAATATGTTGTTTTGAACATAAAATGAAATAATCCAATTTATTTAGATAACTAGTTAAGGACTTATATACTTTACTTTGACAAGCAATTAAGTGTTCAGCTTTACTTAAAAATATTTTGGCGAAATATATTTATCAAATAGAAATTTAGGTCATATATATAATGTCTTGCTCGTGTTAATTTAATAAAAGTTTAGTCCTTTAATTATTATAAAAAGTTAAAATTATTAAATAGTACGTACTTATTTTTTAAAAAGTTACGACTTACCATATTTTTCATAAATGTTCTCATGAGAATATTTATGAGAAATTTGTAAAAATAAGTTTAGACGATTCATACAATTACTTATGAGTTTTAGAAGTTTAAAGTACATATGATAAGTAGTAAAGTGAAAAGGAAAAGTTTCAAAGCTTCTTTAGTTATGTTTTTGGGAACCATTAGTAAATTTTTTTTCAAAAAAGTTGATCTTACCAAGGTTAAGTTAATAAATATCTAATAGCTATTAATAGGTTATAAGCAAGATGATTATTAGATATAATAAATAATTAATAATTATTTGAAAATTCTCCTTGATCATATGATCATTCATATAAAAAGAAGCGTGTATCTGTCAATGTTATTAAACTCGAATTGGTCATTAATCTGATCGACTGGTTGAATCGTATATATGATCAAGTAAATATATATAAATCTATAATTTATTTTAAAAAATCTATCAATATACTCAAATATCTTTAAAAAAATGATAACAATTTTAAATAATCTAATATGAAAAATAATAAATTATATATTATTGTGCAAACAAAATAATCCCCTTTAGGTTGCTTCTCAAGAACAGACTGATAAAAAGAAACCAAACAACCAAACACAATGATTAAGCCACGAATACCAACAAAACGAAATCAATTTCAAGTGTACACTGTTAGTTCCATTAAAGACACGAAGCAAGCATACACGTTATAAGCAAATAACATGTCAAATGACCAAGAACGTGCAAGCTCACCACCAGTACCACTGAAGAGAGCAAGCTGATAAATGACCCAAAAACACACCCATTTGCTGCTGCTATGAATATCTATCTCACTCTCAACACGGTAAACTCATAGTCCTAGAGCTAAGAGCTGAAGCAATATATATATAGACACAACCCATATGAATGAAAGCGGTTCTTCTGTTCTCTATGGCTGCCACGTGTCCTTAAAATTCCTAAAAATAACATATTCGGAATCTAACAGTCAAACTCAGCAACTACTATTCTTCAATCTACCTTTATTTGTGTTAAATGGGCACCAAAATTTGGCAATGTAATCGATGAAGAAAGTGAGAACTGAAATAGAGGGAAGGGCAATAAATGGAAAGTTTCCATTGTAGAATGGTAGCTCAACTCGGCCGTTGACACGTTCCATTATCTCATCTAAAAACAAACTCAAATGGAGGACAATGATTTGACAAGATGAAACCCCACTAAAAAGAAAGGAATTGAGAACAGAGAAGAAAGCAAAAAGAAAAAAGAAAAAGACGTGACATTTAACTGGCCGAGTCATCGATTTTAACTGACAAGATAATCGATTTATTGATTTTCGGGTCAACAGTGGACAGGGCTACATATAACTAAAGAGAAGTCTTGTCTCGTGAATTTTTTTATTAATTATTTTTCAAATTCTATGTTTATATTATTTGAAAATAATGGAATATAATTAGTTGATTTTTTTTATATTATCAATTATTTAACTAGTCTAATTAGAACAATTTCAAATTCTAGACGTAAATATAGCTTAAGTTTTCCCACTTACAGCTCTTGTGTTTTTGCTTTTGACTGACTTCCTCGTTAAGCTGCTGCACGGGCAGCCTCTAATTAATGAATCTAAGTATCGTTTTTTTTTTTGGTATGCATATGAACTGGCGTATTTCGCATTAGTTGGTTTATCTTTTCTTAGCTTCTTTATTTCTTATTCTTAACTAATAAGATTCGTTCATCAATGACAACATGCAGATAGTGCCAAAGTGCCAAAGGCAAAGCAACCGAAAAGTTCCAAATAATTCTATTTATTTGATGGAATAATGACGTATTTGTCACGTCTTTCAAAATTATTTACTGAAATGCCACGGTTCATAAACTTTTTATCAAAATATCATATTTTAGAACCGGTCATTAGTCCTGGTGAGTCCAGTTGCCATGTGTTGCTGAGAGAACAAACTTTCGATACAACGGATGTATTTATATTTTGACTAAATGAAAAAAGTTTTTGAGACTGAAAAAACAAGAGTTACATGAAAAAAAAATTGCTCATCGAATTTGGTGCAACAGTTACACTGAAATTCAATGCAATCAAATAATGGGAGCATCACACGTTGACTAACACACATCACATAAGGAGAGAGAGTATCGGCTGATGGATGATGCTTCCATTAGTCAGTTGCATTGAGTCTTCAATATATTATTGCACCAAAGATTTATTCAGAGACAAGGAACTGACCTGCTATCAGAAATGATGAATCCTGGATCATAACTCGTTATTTCTGACACACATTAGAAGTTGCAAGTCAATAATTAAATACTAAAGCATGACATTTTGGTTCTTGTACCATAAAAATTTAGAGAGAGATTATTTTTATAACTTATTTTTCTTTATAATTTCTTACAATTATTTTTATTGTCCTTAGATTAAAATCAAATTAACAGTTTTTACTTAATATAATTTTATACTTATTAATTTGATTTTGATTTAATAATTATAAAAATTATATAAAAAACATAATAATTATAACGTATCCCGAAAATCTAATGCTATTAAATTATTTTACATTTGTAAAATTTGATTCTTTCGCACCGGTCCTTCTCTTTCTTTCCTTAGTGCCTAAGACGCCCTTTGTCTTCTTGTCAAATTTCCTCGATCATTCACATCAATCTATTCAAAGACCCGTGATGAGTAAATATGTTCCAATTCTATTACCCTAATGCGTGGGGACAATTGGCTCAAGATCAATAAGTGAATTATGAAACAACAAAAATGTGTATGTTTCAGAACTCCAGATTCAACCAAGCAGCAAAGAAACGATGTAATTGGTTAATAACAAAACAAAAACAATTTTTTTCAAAAAAAAAAAAAATTTGATGTCATTGACACCTCAAAAACTTTCTTTTGTAGAAAATATTCAACGTCAAGGAGAGGGGCTGTTCACTGTTGGAAGCAGTTTTTCTCCCATATTAGGAGGTTTATTTTGATGGACCCGATACACATGGTTCCATTCTAGAAATGGTAAAAATAAGGGAGTGGAAGGAAATTTTTTATATAGTGATTTGGGACCATGATACTTAAGTGATCCCTTTTTTAATTTTGGAAAATTTTATTTCCCTCCCACTCCCTCACTTTTTAAAAAAAAAATTCCCACTCCTTTGTTTTTACCATTTCTAGAATGAAACCATATGTACTGGTCCATCAAAATAAACCTCCCATAATAGAGTTGAACATAAGCTCAAACAAGCAAACTCCAAGAGAGAGATTTTTTGGTGGGCCTGGAGGATGATGTGTTGGAAATCGACAATCACACAGAATCGAGAAAACAGAAAAAGAGATAAGAGTAGAGAGATTGACACGATGATTTACCCTGGTTCACCCAATATAGGCTACGTCCAGCTTGTCTGTACTATATTCACCTCACCGCCACTCGTTACAAGTCTCTCGGTTTACAAGGCAAATATAAATAGGATTACAAGAAACCCTAACAGCAGCTATTCATGGGCCCAAGCCCAAACTGCTAAGAAAATTACAATAGAAACAGAGGCCTAAACATTACCTAGCCTCTACGGGCCTGGGGGCGCTGCCCCTCGGACCCCCGCCCGCTCACCTGGGAGCGGGACCCCAGTTGCTTTTCTGCTGACCCCGACAATTAGGGCCAACATCATCATGTGAAGTATGAGCCATACCCAACATGATGCTCTCTTCAAAATAGAACTAAAATAGAAGGGGGGGATGGGAATTAATGGTGAGCCAAAAGCATAGTAAATTTTTCGACTCCGAAGGTGAAGGTTAGTTGAAGTGGAGATATGAGTCTCACGACAGATCATTTGTTAAAAAAAGTGGGGATTTGAATTCGGGAGAGAGTTAGATAATTGTCATGCACTTGATTTAGAGTTGGATTTTTATGTATTTTATTTTATGAAGAGCGTTATTCTTATAATTTTTTTGTTTATAACCTATTTTTTCATTGTTAATTTTCATCAATACAACGATTATGATTTATTGAATCACATTTATTATTTAATAATTAATTTCTAATAAATTATAACTATTGGATTGACAGAAATCAATAATAAAAAATAAATTATAAGAGGTTATAAAATTTTTAGATTATAAGAATAATGCTGCTCCTATTTTATTAATTTCCAAGCATGCATGAAGAATTGAATGTGCAGAGTATATGCTTTAATTGGGTCTGTTCGCTGGTCTAATGGTTTGCCCAGTTTTGTTATATTAGAGCAAAATCCTACCGGTTGGATTGTTTACACAAAGTGAATCTTGTGGTTGGGAGGCTTTTGAATTTTTTATTTATTTATACCTGGCTCTTGTACAATTTTTTAGCAATCTTATTGTAAGCATGGGGTGTTATCTTGTTAGTGTCTTCCATTTCATCTTGCACTTTGTAAATGGAAGTGTTAAATGTGTCTTATATTGGAAATAGAATGTTGGTATTCTGTTATCAAACTTTTGTTAAGTCAGTAATCAATTACTATTCATATGTAAATACTTATAAGGAAAATAATTGTTACGTAGTTATACGATGTAACAAAATATTCCTACTTTTATAATTATATGTGTGCTCATCTCTTAACTTTTCTCTCTTTACTCTCCTTTTTTTTCATTGTGAAAGTAAGAATTATTATATTACATCATGTAACATAAGAATTCATTTAGCCAATTATTAATCAACGTGATCATTTTGTCTTCCTTTTATAATTATTTTGTTATTTATGACTTTGTCTTCCATTTCAATTTATACTTTAATATGTTTCTCTTCTCAAATAATGTGTCCTTGTTTGACTAATATTTAACTGTTTGACCAATTTACCCTTTTTTTAAATAAATTGATGAAATATTGATCAAATAGAAACAGATTAATATATTGTTTGAAAAAATAAAAAGAAGCAAAATAATAAAAGAATAAATAAAAACAGGCATAGAATGATCAATCGGTCTAATAATTACCTTCTTTCAAAAGCTGTATTCCTGGAAACAAACTGTAAGCTATTAATAATAAGGAAGGATGTTCTTACTACTAAAATTTTCTACTATTAACTTACTACCTATTTAATTATCATTGGATCAACATTTTCTCTTTTTTAAAATTTTTTTTAACATTCTCTCTCTTTTAACATTCTCTCTCTTTTTAAATTATCCTCCATGTTAATAATTTGTTACTTAGCAATCTTACCAGGGTTCTCGTACGAGGCAATTGATTCCGAGTCGTGCCAATGTATTATGATGTTCTAATTCATAGCAATCATACGAGCACATAAAATAAAACGGTCTTTCTGCCATGTTAATCACATTTTTAGTTTGTAACTTTTGATTTCTGTTATTCAATTTCGCTCTTATTTTATGTGATGTATTTTTAAAGGATAAATGGATTGTTATGTTACATAATATATGATAACATTCCTCCTCTCACAATTATATATGGGTCTCATTTTTTAATTTTTCTCTCTCCACTCTCCTTTTTTCTCTCTTCTCTCCATTGTGCAAGTACGAATTGTTATGTTACATCATATAACATAACAATTCATTTATCCATTTTTAAAATACCAGGAGGTTAGTATACATATTAAGAGAAATATGCGTACATTTTAAAAATAGTGAGGTACATTTCAAAAATTAGGCAAACAGAAGAAAATTAAAGTATTTTACTCTATATATGTATAAGAAAAAGTATTTTACTAGCAAAAAAATTAAAATATTATTATTTTAATAAATAATTACAAATACATAGCTGTTTTAAAATTATCTACGGATCTATTGCACTCGTTCACACCCAAATTAGGCGTGACTATTCATGCCCAAATTAGGGGTGACACCCAAGGCATTCACGCCTAATTTAGGCGTGAATCATCTGGTGTTGACACGTGGCAAAAAAAGTCAACTTATGAACCGTAAAACTTTGAAAAACCATAACT